CGTATGTACATGCACTAATATTGCTCCATCTCTCGTTCCTTCTATGTGATTGATCCGAAGGAAATAGCAAAATGAAATTTTTTTCCTTTTCTGCTCATAAACTTATCGCTAAATGCCTACCTTTCAGCACAATAAATGATGAAACAAAAATTCGACGATGTCGTTATCGTATTGTCATCTCAAACAGTTCAAAGCAATCCAAATTTTACGAAAACGATAAAACTAATAAATAATCATGTATGAAATGAATTGAAACGGAAAAGGATTCCTCACGCAATATATTATATGATAACTTATCGAATCGATGAAATTTCGAAAGCTTAATAGAAATAGCAATACTTTGTCAGAGAAATTTTGGGGTTAGACCTGGATTTGCCCTTTCGAAGGGGTTTCAACAATAAACCCAGGTCGTGGAGGTACGACCGGAAAGCACGGGAAAGCGCTGGAAAGTGGAAGCAGTATTCCGGTCAGAAATAGCCGGATTATTTTCCTGCGGGTTTCAGTCAGTTTTCTGTGATTTCCAGCTGGAAGTTGAGCAGAATACACCGGAAAAAATCCGGCTATTTCCGACGGAAATACTGCTTCCGCTTTCCAGCTCTTCCTGTGCTTTCCGCCCAGATACGGTGATTTTTCCGCATCTTTTCGGCCGGTTCCTACAGTATCCGTCCTCCGGAATCATTGACCTGGGAAAATCGAGCCGGAAAGGTGTCCATCCAAAAGAGTTTGTCACGTTCTTGTTATATATTCTTTTCTCTCACATTATTAAACTCAGTTATCAGCGAGACAGCAGCGTGATGGTATGACAACAGAACGGAACAAAAGGATAATCTTCCTCCGATGGAATCGAACCAACGTCTTCTGCTTTCCGGGCAGCTGTACTACCACTATACTAGAAAGGAGCATGTATTATTCGTTTGTTCCGTCTTATGATCGAAGGGAAACACTTCGGTCATAACAATTCTATTTATCTGAACCAATTTTCAGCGTTTGGTCCCCTATCTCAGCGAATCACGGCAGGGTTTACTGGAAAACTCAGGTTTTAGCACTGAGTTCGCGTTTTAGGGTGGCTTCGAATTATTGAATGTCACTGTAAAGATGGCCATTCGATAGAACTTGTCAAGTTCTACATAGCTATGCCATTTTCAGCTTTTGGTCCCCTCTTTGAGCGAATCATGACAGATTTTACGACGAAAACCAACTTTTAGCAATAAATTTGCATTTTAGGATGGGTTCTAAGTATTTTATGGCATTGCAAAGATAGCCATTCGATACAGCCCACCAGGTTCTGTCGATCCATATCTATTTCAGCTTTTGGTCCCCTCTGTGAGCGAATGCATTCAGGAAATATTCGAATCCAGACCCAAAATATCCTACGTAACGCAACAGGAGAAAAGGTACGATTCTGTGGTAAAATAATTCGGATAAACGTATGCAAGTTCTTAATACAGGCATTTTTATTGTGAGAATAAAGATAGCTGAGATAAATGACGATTCATACGCATAAGGCTTATGATAACGAGAAAATATCTTATCACTGCTTTCAGTAATCATACTCATCAAGATACTTCATGTCCTCAGAATGCAAAACATGGCACATTCAGTATACTTTTATATAAGAGAGCGTCCGACAGAGAGATGATCACAGCAACTGAAAATGTAATGCGTGTGAAGGAAAAAAGGCATCACATCCAGACCACGTCAAAGTCAGCAGTGATAGCATCGAAAAATGTACCTACGTATTTTACTACTAGAAACTAGCATTTCCGCGCTCAATTCTACCAATAACTGGACAATGAGAACTAGGCTTGCTTGTTTCATTCAATTGCAGATTTACTAAATTGAAAACAGCACATGGGAAAGGATGGTTTGAAAAGATTGTTTACGCATGCTAACGTTGAAAAAGCAGTCATTTGTTTAACTGCATACTTGATTCATTAGTGAAAAATAATAGTTCTAAGAAAAATATCCTCATTGAAGTATGAATTGTAACTTAGGGAATAGAATACATATTTATTTCCCATGAACAAAAACGTTCCCCAAATAGACTTCTTACTATCCCGTGGCTCCTTGGAGATTGGTCAAAAATAAAATAAAAGAATCAGGGGCTCATTTCTACAGCATTAACACCCTACCATACAGCCAACAGACATAGAGAGTATATAATATCAATTATATTTTTAATCCTTAATTGCGTCATTCTTTTGATTTTACGATGTTTTCAAATACAAATTCTAAAATTGCGCACTTTATAATGCGTTAGAATGATTCTCTTATTTTTCAATATCCATTTTGAGATTGCAAAACACACCTTCACATGATACATCGTTGTCACACGCAGCATTGAAATTAATGAGAAACACAAACATGGATAAATCAAGTAAAAAATAACTTGACTTGAAGTGAATCGAAAAATAGCAGATCTGACAATCTCTGGAAAAAAAGAAGGATTTCTGTAAGAAGCGTTGTGGCACAATTAATTTGATGTATATCATTAATAGAAGATATGAGTTAAAGAAGAAAACTCATGATTTTTATGGTGAATCGTCTTTTCCCCTTTCATAAATGTAATTTGTTTTTTTTCAAAAACAACTGTTAACTTTTTGATAACAAGCTAGAGCATGCATGAAATTATTTTAATTCTGTATCAATAGTTCTTATTGTCGTAAAGAAACTTGTAATGAAATTTATCATAGTCAAGATAGATTCAAATTTTCATTTTTCGAACGTGACTAACAACACATCTACTGGAGATTAAGTCTGTCAAATGCATTCTTTCTAAATTTAGAGAATCATTAAAAAAAAAAGAAATTAGTTTTTTCAAGAATTTTTAGATTAAAAAAAACAACTATCTACAAATAGATATTAATACAAGTTGAATGTAAATACTCAATTTATCATAAAGTTCTTCTAATAAAATTAAAATAATTATATAGTATTGACTGTTTTGTTTTAGAATTTATCCATCACAAGAGAATGAGTTTATCTTCGTTTATTTTATTGTTGAAACTTGTATAAAAGGAATAAGTCTAAAATTCATGAATAGATAAAATACGAAATAGAAATGGCCAAAGTAGAAAAAAAAGTTACTAAAAATCAAAGTTGTCCTCATCCACGAAGCACGATGTAATAGTATCGATATGAGCAATCTAAGCCAAATATTTATACAAATCTCTTTCCTTATCATCGCGTTCCATATATTGTTTTTCAATCAATAAATCAATACATTTCTAAAAATAGGTATTAAAGAATATTATTTGTTTTAATTAAAATTTAAATAATACTTTGATTGCAGGAATATCTGGTTTAAATACTCGAGCTAATCTTTCAATAACTTCTGATAATAAAAAATTATGTTTTAATGTTTTTCGATTTTTCATTATGAGAACAATGACAGCCTACAATGGATGAAGTTAAGTAGTAGAAAAAAAAGATGTGCATTTCTTTTACTTGAATAGCCAATTTTCTTTCCTCAAAAACTGAACTATAAACTGAATTAGGATCTATTTTATTCATTGGATTTGCTTGTTGTATTTTCATTAAATTAATTTTAATTTTATCACTAAAGTAAATCAAAATCTATTTTTTTTTCAAAGCTTAAAATAAATAGGAAACTTTTTCATAGCATCATTGACTCTAATATTATTGTTCATAGACAGGTTGGTTTCTTGAAAGTGTTCATTTAGTTGATCAGGATTAATATCTTGACAACTTAATATCTTCATTTTTATTAAACTAACAAGAGCTGGCATAAAAATATTAGGTTCAATTTGTGTTTTATCTAGCATTTTCTCAACTGTCATAGTTGGGAATTCATTAAATAAAAGTAAAATATTCATTTGATAGAATGATACCTGTTGAATGAGAAAGTAGAATTTATTTCAGAAAGTATATTCATTCTTACTTGAAGGATGTATCTTTTTTTAGTATATAACGTTTGTACTTCTCCTTTCGAGTATAGCAAAAGTATGTCTAATTTACGACCAATATATCTTTTCATATAGTACTTTTTAAAATGAGTCAATCTTGGTAGAAGCTAAGTGACAAATGAAATGAAATGAAATAAAAACAGAAAAATGCAGAACAATATTACTTCATTTGATATATTAAACATTGACGATACGGTAACTGGCCACCAATTCGATGTTAACATCATGACAGGAAAATGGACTGAAACAAAAATAAGATACATATAACATTAATTGTTCTACAGATCATACATTCTGTACGGATTCCTTCATTTTCGCAATGAGTTATGTAGTCCTGATTTAAATCTGCACCAAGTCTAATATCTTTAAACATTCGTTCTAATTTTGATGCATATTCATAACCACACATTTCCTAAAAAGGAAAATTGCAGATGAATAACATTGGATTATTATTTACTTTTAATTTTGTTATCACATATTCTTCATCGTCATTTGATGCACTTAGTTCTTTGATTAAGCGCATTGCTAAAAATCGTCCATAGAATTTTTGAAAAATATCTTTATCGCGTATGTAATTAAAGACATTCTGTAAAATAAAAATGAATAGAAATCAATTGTTAGGCGTCAGACTGTGGAATAATACCATCATTTGATTGATTTTTTCTCTGACAGTATCGCCATCAAGTTTATTTCTGGAAAAAATAAAAAATTAACGTGTTATAAAATTAAATACAAACGAACCCTTTTCGTAAAAGCCAATCACTGTACCGAGCTAATAATTCAGCTGAACTCGATACTTTTTGAGTTTGTTCTGTGTTTAGATTGCTATTAATAAATTTACTACAAGCCTATGCAAAACGAAAATACATAATATATAAATATCTAAGGATAAAAACTGTTTTTTACTCTATCGAAAGCAGCCATATAACCGGGTTCACAATGAAATGCTGCTTTGACTATCATAAAAAATCTTTCATAAACTTCAACAATTGCTTCAATATAGGTTCTAGAATCCTGATCAAGTGAAATAGAAACTCAATGAAAAATCATGAGAGAGAATTTAATTTTGACTTACTTTAACTGCAGTATCTTTGGTACAATTTACTGCATTGATGCCCACGCTATATAGATGATTTTCGAAAAGTAACTGGATCGGTGCATGAGCATTCTCTATTCGATTAACTAATTTGAATAGAAGCTCTAAATCTATGAAAAATAAACATTCAAGTCACATATCTTACATGTAAAAAATAATAAAATAAAAAATAAATAGAACATATTAGTATTAAAATATTCTACTAGACTTTTGTTTTAGCAAAATAAGCATTTGAAAAGTGATAAAAGTCAGTGTGCAAAACTCATGTTATCCGAAAAAAGAGAATTACGTTGACGGTGCATATTTTCACAAGTGAAGTCCTACAGTTGGTATAGAAAACAAAGATCTATAGTGTTAGTTCATTTACTAGGGTGAGATTAAGCTCATGTCGTTTGTCTCTAATTTCTTATTCTAAAAGAAAAAATGGGCGCTTTAAAAGGAAATTACCTTCTATCTTTTCATTTTCGACGAGTCCATTAGCTTGCTCATAAAAATCATCCAATCGCTTTTCAATCAGTTGTTTTTCTACTGTTCTTAGTAATATTTTCAATGTTGATTGATTTAAATATTTTTTCACACGATCTTCTTCTTCTTCGAGACGATTGTTAGCCTATAAAAATTATTTTGAAATAATTATTAAAAATGCACTCTTGATATTACTTTTCGAATATAACTGCTAAAACTATTATCGTTAAAGTAGTTATCTGATTCCAAAGAATAGTATGTTTGTGTTTCTTCAATAAATTGCTTTTCGAACCACTCTTTATATGTCGTAAGCGATGATGATGTCATATACTTGTTACTATTATTTATATCAGCGTCTGTGAGGTCAACAGATACTAGAATGATGAAATTAAAAAACGTTCGAAATCACGCAATAGTATGCATATGCATACTGTAGCTGTTAATAACTTGGCCAATTAAATGAGGCATATCTGCTTGATTATCACGATGTTTTTTGATTAAATTAAGACAAATCTTTGTCAATGAATGATTATTTTGTTTATAAAATGTATCTCGCCATATTCTCATGGCCATCTAAATAAATTGTTTTAACATATAGTCTATGAGAGAGAAAATTTACTTTGTAAACTTACAGCATAAATGTCGACAATATCTTTAAGATTCTGTTTCTGTTGATAAATAACCCAATAGGAATTCATACGATGGAATATACGATTCACAGTTCGACTTATTAATTGATAGGACTGCCAAGTTTTAGCATAAAATCCAAGAAAATCTTCACCGTTTAAATCACTCTTTTCCTATAGTAACAAACCAAATATAGAGACTTTCAAACAAAAAAAACTGCGATTATATTCATTCTGTGACAATTCGCTTCTTCTAATTTACAGGTAAAAGTCGAAATTAAACAGCTAATTAAGTAATTGATGCTAGTTCATGTATATTTATTGAAATATTTATTCACCTCGGCTATCTTTTGAAGACTTTCTTTGAGCTTTTTCTTTAGACGAAAGTACATCTGACCACCAGGGATGCTCATTTCAAGGTCACCGGGGTCAGCTGCATCGCTATCTTCAGTTTGTTTATTATTAGTGGTAGTCTTCTTTAAAGATTGTTGCAAAAATAATTCGTTATATTCAGAACTTTTAAAATAATTCGCCACACCCCTATAATATGAATTCGAAATGAGTTTCATTTAAATGTTCATTTAAAGATAAAAACAGACTTGTTAATATTCGAATAATCGCTTAGACTTAGACGGTTATCTTGAAACATTTGGTCAATAGCATTAGATAATTCGTTCCATATTTCAGTCAGTAGAATACTGTTTTGTGTCATTTTTTTGCGTGCTGCCGTCTATAAGAAAATAATAAGAACAATAAAAACAGCAAATACAAAACAGTGAGTATAAGGAAATGCCAAGTTACTGAATTTCACAAGAAAAACAAAATTTTTCGTCAACATGGATTATTAAACGGAATCTTCTCGACAACTGACTCAATCATCAGAGAAGTGAATGTTATGCGAGTGATTGTTTACATTATTTGAGTTCTTACTGACAAGTTACATATGAGAAAGTTCGATGAATTGTAAAGATATTCTTATCCGAAATAATAAAAAAATAGTATCCTGAATAGCTTTCAATATCTTAATCAAGCCTAAGAGAAATCAAATATTAAAATATGTATCGATTTGAAGCATTAGGAACATGACACGAAAGAGTTTTTGTGCACAATAATTCTCCGTGTTTGTTGTATTTAAAAATCTTAATAAAAACCCAAAGAAAATGTTTATGATACTGAAATACTGTCGCACATTGCAGCTAAGTCGAAAAACAAAACCGACATTGCAGAACGATAAAAAAGGTAGATGTTTTCGTATGATTCATAGCTTTAGCAAAATGGATGCATTTAGTGACTTCTATGAGTCGAAAAACAATGTTAAATATCATGAATATACTCAAAACTATATTCTCGTAAGCTAGGAAATTGTATATAATATTCCTTAAGAACTTTGCAATACATTTGCAGATACAGACAATGATTTTGTTTCCAGCATGTGCTAGTCTGAATGTATTCTTCAATATTTAGAAACTTTTTCATGCTATAAATTACAATCAAATCATGAATTAGATTTTAGGTACGATGAGATATGTTCTGATTCACGAAAAAATAAATCTCCGAAATGACAAATTTCTCTCCCACTGTTAAGGGGCTCCTCCCCCACCCTCAGAAAATCGATTTTGAGATAAGCACATATACTGAGAGCGTAAAGTGTCCTCTTTCAGAGTATGTGCGATTCATTGCAGTTTGAATGACTTTTGGTGGTGAAAATAGCGGTTTTCTGGGTGCTGTAGTAGAAATAAAAGTTTTTTTCAGAAATATTGTCCTTAGCTACAGGGATGTGTATTGGTCCACAAGGTGGTAGATTTTATCTAGCGAGAAACCGATATGCGTTCTGTTATATTAATTAATTAGTGGAACGTAGTCATTTCTGCTTAAAATCCTGTACACATGACGAAATTGTAGTATAGAGGTCGTGACAATCATAGCGAAATTAAAAATTGTTTCATACAACTTGTTGATTGACTTTCTCAAAATCACTTTTTTGGAGAGTTCGGAACCGGTTTCTCAGACTGTACGAGAGCTAGCGAGCTACTTTTTTTAAATAAAAGGAGAAACCTATATCTAGAAATGTATTTAGCGTTTTTTCGAAATTCGATTTGTTTGCCGAGATAACTGGATAATACTGATGTCAAAAAGCACTGAATTCCGAGTTCTTATAGTAGAATGTCTCGGAAATCCGAACAAAATCGCATTTCGAAAAAATGCTACATACATTTCTAGACATAGGTTTCTTCTTTTATTTAAACAAAAAGTAGCTCTCTACGTCTTTGGCAGTTCGAGAAATCGGTACCTTTCGAGAACCATCATTTTGGAGACTAACTTGTCAATAACTCTTCAAAGCAAAAAAAATTTATTAGCCAAAAATTTGCAAGAAATTGAGTAAACACAACATCCATATTGCCTAAAAATTTCGTATGGTTGAATGTTTCTTTTTGATGATCAAGAAATTCTTAGCTGATACTGTTTGNAGTGAATGTTTTGCGAGTGATTGTTTACATTATTTGAGTTCTTACTCACAAGTTACATATGAGAAAGTTCGATGAATTGTAAAGATATTCTTATCCGAAATAATAAAAAATACTATCCTGAATAGCTTTCAATATCTTAATCAAGCCTAAGAGAAATCAAATATTAAAATATGTATCGATTTGAAGCATTAGGAACATGACACGAAAGAGTTTTTGTGCACAATAATCCTCCGTGTTTGTTGTATTTAAAAATCTTAATAAAAACCCAAAGAAAATGTTTATGATACTAAAATACTGTCGCACATTGCAGCTAAATCGAAAAACAAAACCGACATTGCAGAACGATAAAAAAAGGTAGATGTTTTCGTATGATTCATAGCTTGAGCAAAATTGATGCGTTCAGTGACCTCTATTAGTCGAAAAACAATGTTAAATATCATGAGTATACTCAAAACTATATTCTCGTAAGCTAGGAAATTGTATATAATATTCCTTAAGAACTTTGCAATACATTTGCAGATACAGACAATGATTTTGTTTCCAGCATATGCTAGTCTGAATGTATTCTTCAATATTTAGAAACTTTTTCATGCTATAAATTACAATCAAATCATGTATTAGATTTTAGGTACGATCAGGTATGTTCCCAGGTCGAGCATTACGACGACTAGATATGGCCGTTTACGATGACGTATACGGGCCGTATATCACCGTGTTGTGTACGGTAGTACACACCAACCGTTTCGAACCCGTGTCCGATCGTATCATAAGCAGGAAACGACCAAACACTGCAGCGTAAACGACCGTACCAACATCGTGAACGACCGTATACGGCCGTAATTCTGAAGAAAAAAAAATACATTCCTAAACCCCACTGATCAATAGTGCGCACACTACAGACATCAATTCTACTACATTTCCATAGGAATCACTCTAACCAAATGCAAGCAGCCAAAAAAACCTACTCAAAATCACACAAAAATAAGAGAACTCATACTTCCAGCAGATCTTGTCGGAGCACTCTTTATAACCTAACATCCTCGCTCGTATCTAAAGTAAACTCCATATGGCTTTCCGCGTATCCTGCTCCAGGGACCGTGAGAAATCTGAAAAATACAAAAAGCATAAAACAAATCCTGCAAAAATCACCTTTTGAAAGGAGGATTAGTGAAGATCATGAGAAAAAATACTAAACATCTGATATAGGGTAATAAAAGTAATAGCACGCATGGAAATCGCTGAAAAATATTAGGAGAATCACTAAAATTTCCCTCATGTTTGATGGGAAATTCGATCTTTTCGATCGTAGCTATACCTTTAAAGATTGTTTTTTCATTATTTTAGCGGATTTATGGTGTAGAGTTCAACAGGAATTCGATATAGGATTACGTTGAGCAAATGTCGACTTCAAGGTTGAACTTGGTTTTAAGGAAAAACGATCATTTTGTTCGATTTAATGCGGAAAATGCTGCAATATCTGGATCTTTCGGACATAAGGCTTCTTGATATCATATGAAATCTATGAGCTCTGCTGCTTCGAATGAATATGTATAGAATTTGTGAAATTTCGTATATTCAGGCAGTTGCAGATTTTGATTTGCAGCTTAAACCGTAAAAAATGATTTGATGCTGAAATAATTTTCGCTCAAAGTCTGGTTTTCGATAGGAGCCGGCTTTGAAGAACTTCAGATACTTAGTGGCATCGAATTGAAGGAGAAGTATCTTGATGTAGATGAATTTGAAAAGTCACGGAGGTTGAGAAATAATTTCGTGGACTTGGTAATATTCAGTTAAAACGAGGGCACGTCATGTCTTCTGTCCTTACCCATAACGTTCTAGATGCTGAAATCCTGCTTTTGGATTTTTGAGTAAAAGTGATCCGTAAGTGATTGACTTTGTCGCAGATGCTTTATTAAAGATGGAAACAGATGATTCATGAAACTTCTTTTGATAAATGATGAAAGACTGAAGAATCCGGAAAATGTGTCAGAAATCAGAAGCAGAAATCATAGAAATAATAAACGAGCTCTCAGATTATTGTGGAGTATATAGTTTTGCTTTCTGAATAAATTTTTTATATAATTATGTTGATAGAGAGTAAGCTTTAATGTTGTTCAATATAGTAGCCAAGCCTTGCATCACTTTTGTGCTGTAACATTGACAATTATTTATCAGGTCAGGCAATATTTCTTGGTGTTTCTATGATTTTTTCATGTTTACCATATAAGTTTCAAGTAGAGGATATGCTTGACGTAACATGCTTATCCACCTTATGATTCTGAGTAATAGGAAGTTGTGGATGAATTGTGATTTATTCGCTTTTTCTAATTGTATGTTCCTTATGACTAAAACTTAGAAAAAAAATCTGACTTCAATGATTTCGTGAGCCTTTAAAAAGTAGAAAAAATTGGCAGCATCTCTGTATGGTGGATAATCAAAGTGACATTAAAAAGTAGTGGAATTTCCGACCACAGATTTCACAAGATTATTCGACTTTTTCATGCTACAATCTAAAAAATGCTACTACACTTTAAGCGAACAGCTAGTCATCGTAAACGACCGTTTACTGTGATATCAGACAGTCGTTTGCGGTTAGCGTTTAATTGAGTAGCTGTCTAATTCGAGTTCGAATATAAATGAAAATTTCCGAAAATCCTATTGCGCACAAGCAAAAGAAAAAGTTCGAAATTTATCCTAAATATAAATTTTGTAATTCAATTGATTCATGAATTTAGAGTTGCATGTTATCAGGAAGAATGCGTAACTGTCTAGTGCGGTTTCTGTGTGGGTATGGTCATTGCAGTAGTGTCGAACTTGAACGCTGAATTCAACTGAAATTTCAATTTTCAACTTTCAAGTCGGTTTTTTCAGCCTTTCGCGGCACCCACATTTGAGATGTTATGAATGTGTGTTGATGTTGTTTTCAGCCTGTCGTGGCACCCACACTTGAGATGTTATGTATGTCTGTAGACGTTGTTTTCAGCCTTTCACGGCACCCACATCATTCACCGGCGTTAGTTTGCGTTAAATTTTCATAAAATACGGGAAACTCTGAATATGCAATGTGCCGCCAAGACGTGTTTTTGGAGTAAGTTTCAGACGGATGGTGTCATGCAGTGAGGAGAACTGAAGTGACAAATATTGGCAAAAGTGTGAATTTTAGCTGCATCCGTGAGATGCGAAGAATGGCAAGAGTACAATTGTTAAAGCTCAACTTGATTTAGGGTATGGACCTTAGTGGTATGTAATTCTGTAGAAAATTTCAATTGTGTTGAATGAATACTTCTTGAGATATTGAGTTACGAAAACCGCATTTCGAGAAATTGAAACTTGAAACGTGAAACTTGAAGCTTGAACTCATGTCGTCAAAATCGCTTAGGTTTTGGTGATAGATCGCGATTATCGAAGAAACCAACGATTAATCGCGATTCTAATCGAAAAAACTTCGATTGGTTGCGATTAATCGCGATAGATCGGCGATTATTTCCATATTGACTATTTGCGATTGATCGTGATAAATCAGCGATTATTTGGATATTGACTATTTGCGATTAATCGCAATAAATCGGCGATTTTTTGAATATTGACGATTAATTGCAGCTGATCGTCGCTTTCACAATAATTTAAGAATATTGTATATTAGTTTGAAGCGATAAGATTTTTATCACATAATATAATTGATTGCAGAAAAAAATGGAATTCTTAGCTGTTTTTGAGTATCAAAGTATTTTAAAATTTTCCATAACATAGCGTATGATAGAACTTTCGGATTGAATTTCAATTGGCCAAGCGACTGCAACCAACGATAACAAAACATACTGATCTATTGTTGTTTATATAGTATTTGCCATATCATGATTTTAGTATTTAATTTCAATGTCTAGTGTATATTGAATATCTTAGACTAATTTCGGAAGTGATAGGTTGATTTTTTATGCAAGAATAACTGTGCAAAAGGCTGGCAGTTTTTTTTCAATGCAAATCAGCTACTATTTTGTACCATCTGGCTTTTGTAAATGGTTTATCAAGCCAGGAGTTCTGTTGTACATTTTCTTAGCTGCAATCGTTAACCTTTATTAAACCTATTAGAGTTTTTCATTTTCTTTTGAGCTACTTTGCTATTTTCTTTTTGCATTTTAGATTCATGTTGGTTATACTAAGTTCCTTCATTTAATATGTCGAATACTAATCAAATCTATACAAAAAGAGTGCTACATCAACGGTTGCACAGAGACAAGCAAAAAGAACAGTATGAACAGACTGTTAATAGTGATTCTGACTGTAGTTCTAATTCAACAGTTGATAAACTGGATGATATTTATTTTGAATTGTCAGATGATGAATCCATAATATCACCATTAAATCAATTTCAAAATGATGATTATGGTGAAAATCGTTATCTTCCGGATAATGACGATAATATTAGTATGAATGACGATACTTTATTTCAGCACAACAATACATTTTCATTATACGAACAATCACCTGTTTCAACAGGTGAAGCTGTTGGACGCTTAATGAAGTTTTGTATTAATTCTAATTTTGATAAAAAGAAAGTAGTTACATTGATGTGTCTAATTAAATCTATCTTACCATCACCAAACAAACTGCCGACAACATTTCGACAGATATTAAATGTATTTGGTAAAACTCCTTCATTTATTGCAAAGTTTTATTGCAACAATTGCTGGGCATTAACAACAACAAAAAACAATCAACAATATTGTACTAATTCAAGTTGTACTTTATCTGATTCACAGCTATCTAAAAGACAAGTTACAGAGGTAACTACTCTGGACATTAGAGAAAAATTACAATCAATTGTTCGCAGAAATTTCTCTTTATTTACTGGTCATGATGAACTTTTTCCATCATTCGATATTCCTAGTGGTAATCGTTATCAATAGAAAACAAAAAGCATAGTCTATCCAATTACTTTAAATATACATGCAGATGGAGCGCCACTAATTCGATCATCCAAGTCAGCAGTTTGGCCATGCTTCAGCTCGATCGTCGAATTACCTCCCCCGGTCAGAGAATACCAAACAAATATTTTAACATTAGGGTTATGGATATCGTGTATTAAGCCGAATGTTAATTTGTTTTTAGATGATATTATCAAACAATTAAGTGATTTGTCCCACAATGGTACGTCGATATTTATTGATGAACATGAATTCAAAATAAATGTTAAAACACAATTTTTTGTCTCGGATTTACCAGCAAAAGCTCTTTTCATGAAAACAATCAACTTTAATGGCTATTTCGCTTGTACTAATTGCATGACAGAAGGTATTTATTCTATCTAGACATGTTACAGACTGTTGAATGATAATCATGCTATTCTTTTTTTTAACTTAGGAGTTTTATATAATAGACCAGTTATTTATCCATATAAAAACAACAATTTCTATTCAAGAACTCATAGTCAATTTGCAGCCACAGCTAAGGAAGTAGAAGTAAAATTAGCTAGTGGTGGTAAACGTTGCACGTCAATTGCTGGCATCAAGGGCATATCATAATTATTAAAACTTTTTCATTATCCAGTAGATATTATATATGATTACATGCATTTAGTTTGTCTGCATCGTGTACCAGCATTAATTAAACGGTTTACTGAAGTTCTATCGAAAGATGCTATTGCTGAAGTCGATTCAATGTTGTCGTCCATTAGACTTCCACATGATTGTCATGTGAAGTTCAATTATTCAATTCAATCAATTCACGATTGGAAAGCAAAACATACCAGGCTATTTATTTTGAATGTAGGTCTACCAATAATGATTCAATACTTACCAACTCTATATTCATCGCATTTTTCTATTTACTGTATGTTCGTGAAAATATTACATTGCCCGAAAACATTAGAAGAAATCAAATTGGCTGATAAACTGATCTATTATTACTGCCAAACTTCATCAACAGTTTATGATCCGAAAATTGAATTATACTCTTTACATGCACATCTTCATTTACCAGCACAAGTTCTAAGTAATGTTGATTTTAGCACTACTTGTTAAAATAGGCCATCAACTTTTTTTATTCTTTATTCAGAAAAGTGGTATGTTTCAACTTTAATAAAATCTTCGTCAGGCATTTATGAGATATGTACAGCGAACAACAGATGACATGTGTGCTTAGTCACAGCTTATCTTTCTTTTTCTTCTTCTTATTTTTCACAGTGGATTGAAAGAGATTTCATCAATCATCATTTAGTATAGTCGTCTTGTTTTCGATCCATTATCCAAAAGAAAGACAAAAAGAACAAGACAGAAGCAAGGTGTAAGTAGGTACATAGATCATCTGTTGTTCATCATACGCACCTCACTAATGTATGAAGAAGGCTTTATTGAAGTCGAAACTTCATTACTGTAAATAAAGAATTTAAAAAATGGAAGTCATCTTAAAAACTAACTCAATGATAAAAACCTGCCCTTCATGACTAATAACAAGTAATAATTATAATGTCATGTTAGTTATTTTCTTATTTCGATTATATTTGAATCTGAACAACAATTAATTGTTGTCACACAATATTCCTCGATGATCATATCTGTTGGTGACTTTATTTATCATTCTTTTTCTTCTTCTCATATATTCTCCTTATTGTCTCTCTTGACTAGTCATTCACACATGTTCTTCTTGTCTAGATCGACTAGCCGTCTGCACATATGTTCTCCTCTGTCCACTTTTTTGAGTTATCCGCTGTTCTTGTTCTTATTCAACTTTTATATTTTATTTTAGTCGTTCGATGTGTTCTAGTTACACAATAAGACGAATCGATTGTACTCTGTCTTTGTTTTCAACTTAAGAAAAGAGCAGAAGCTTCTTGAAGCATTTTCTTTATTCGTTTCCGTCCCTATCTCTGTATAAATAGTTCACTTTTTTCTGATGAAGTCAGCATTTTCTGATTTTACAAATTCTTAATCATCTAACTACTTTTTATTTTTCTAGATCATGGTGGTCTCGCTTTTACATCATCTTTTTGTTTCGAGTCAATGATTCATTACATTAAAAATAAAGCATTTGGAACAAAAAATTTAGGATCACAAATCATGTATTGGCTTGAACTTGATGCAGCTATATCTACAAAACAATTTGAACTGCAATTACCATCACTGGTAAACGAAATAAAAGTAGATTGCGATTTATTTGCAAAATATCTACAAGTATTTAAAGAAAAATTAAATGATTCACAACAATATCTTACAATGATTAAATTATTCTTACGTTTCAAAGATAATTTTGTAACATATCACTCTTTTTTTATACAGCAAACGATTTTCATGTGCTAGCTACTTGATATCATATCGTGATAATTTTCAACATATTAAATATGGCAATATTATTGCCTTTTATTCGTATGAAAATGTACCTTATTCGTTTATACAACAGTATCATCAAACAGTCGTTAAAATCTCTGATCATCTTGATATCCCTGATGAATTGAAAGAAACGATCAATTCATTTTATCCTATTTATTATCTAAGTGATGCATTTGTTACTATTCCAGTTAGCAAAATTATTTCCAAATGTGTGTCAGTTCCATTTCAACAACATCAATGTATCAGTGAACGACGTGTGAATTATGAACATGATTGAAAATAATTATTTGGCCATCTTTATTTAAACTTCTTCTATTCAATCTTGGTTTGTAAACCCAGTTGGATGATTCTCTTTTTTTGATTTTTCAAGTGATATATAATATGCATTTGATATGATTAACAAATTTATATTAACATAGTCTTTTTTCATTGCTTCAGATACTTTCAGAAAAAAATGTATACCAACGACCCTATCATACACAACGTTTAACAAAAACGAAAAATAATTTTTCTTGTATTGTCTATATCGATGAACCATCAAAATACAGTATTGTCGAATCTAAACGCTTAGTCAATATTGATGAACATGGGTGTAGTATAATAAAGGAACTTGGTAAAACTTATAATGTCCGAGTTGAACAAACAGGTACATTTTAATCTATTCAGTTGAAATAAATCTTAATTTTTTTTTATTATATTCTTAGGTACACAAGAATCAATGGAGCGGTACGGTCAGTTGTTAGAGAAAGCAATGCAATCTCAATTGCATAAAGATGTTCCATCTGATTGCGAAGATTGGCGAATAGAACAAGGAAAAAAAAAGGAAAAATATACCACAACAACATCAATTGTTAAATCACCAATAAATCACCACCACCAACAATATAACTAGATGATAGGTTTTTACTCATTCTGTCGATCTTATTTTTTATTTAGTATCATCACATAAAGAAATATCTTTACGTGAAATTGCATTTGGTTAGTAGACTATTTTAAATTTATGGAGTGGGTCGATTATCGATTCTAATTAACAGGTGAAATGTCATCAACTAGTTACAAAACAATTCACACATCATCATCGTTATCGTTATCATCATCATTTATACCTGCTGAGTGTGATATATTGGATACAAGAAAAGACTCAAATGTTCTTGCATCAGGTAGTCAATATTTTTTTTTCGGTAAATTATAACTGATATATCAACTTTTAGCTGAAACAAATAGCGATAGTGATTCATCATTTTCAGATCATATCTAAGAAGAAGTAATACCAGCCGTATCATCTGAAGAAGAAAATGATACACGAAAGAATCTACAATTGAAGTTTACACCGGTACCAACAGGAGGTGTTAATTCGAAAAAACGTTCAGTAGCACGAAAAAAGATACCAATTCCTAAGCGTTTACAATTTTCTACCAATGATAATGATGATGATGCACGTGAAGGTCAACACATGGATTTACAACCATTACTGAACCACGTAAAACAAATTGATGCAAATGTATTGAAATTACTAAAACAACAACAGCAAGCAACATTATCTTTGGATCGTCAGGAAAATTTTTTAAAAATCTTATGTAACAATCAAAAAAAAACTTGCGAGAAGTTTAAGAAGATATAGAGTGAGAGAAATGAATGTAAGTTGATTCCCAGAATCTAAAATCAGTTTTGTTTAGATTCCAATTGCTCTTGAAAACGATGATGAACCTGTCAATATCGATAATGAACAATATAACGGTCAAGATTCAGTATGTAACTTTACTAATCAAATTTTTTATCAACTCATACTATGAAAAAGTAATTTCTGCTTTCTTATTTCGTTTCTTATTTTTTTCAGACATATACCAGAAGTGATGGTACTGTAATTGAACTATTATCAGTACATGGCACCAAACAAAATACAATTAAATTTGCTCTTAACTTAATAGATTTAGTATTTGTAGACAAGCAAGATTTTCAAAATATTAATGTGAAACAAGCAGATAATGATCTACGAATCAAAGCCATTTATAGTAAGAAAAAACTTCAATGATAAATACTCATCGGTTGTACCGTATCCGGCTTGTTTTAGATGCAGTCAAGCAGAAGTTTGGTTATTCGTCAGAAGAAATGTCCATCGTTTGGCCTCCAATGCACGAGTCTATTTTAAGCAAGCGTCGTAACCAGCAAAAGAAGCTGAACTCAAGTACAAATACAAGTGAAATATTATAATTATTATATATATATATATCAACAAACTTTTGTATTTATTTGATTTATCAAATCCAATTGTATCAACATCGCAACTGCTCAAATCTAATGATGGTGAGCAATAAATTGTTGTACGTGAACAAGTATCAATGTCAATTGTAAATTGAAATTGAAATTGTATAAAAGTCAAATGATAGTACTGATTATCAGTAATATTAATTAAAAAAAAACGATCATGTTAAGATTTATATAACTTTTTTTTGTAAATTCAAATGTTTATTGTTTTTGTGAAGTTTTTCGAAATATTGTATTTTATATGTGCAAAATGTATATTGGTTTTATTTTTTGAAAATAATTATAATAAATTGAACGAATGTACTTTACATAAACAACTAGTAATAACAGAGAAAAGCTTTTCGAGAGATCTGTAGTGACGAATCTGGACCAATCTATATTGATTAAATCATTATTAATTAATCGCGATTTTGTATAAAATCACAAAAAAATCGGGAAAAATCACCTACTCCAGCGATGATATCCCGATAACCTCTCACGATTAATCGACCTAACAAATCGTGATAAAATCGTTGATTTTTGAGCGATTTTCACGACATGGGAAGTTTCAGTGGAATTCAAATTTCAAGTTCGACATGTATGGAAAATTGTGTACACAGAGACGTTCTTTGGTCGCGGCTCTGCGGGGGACGCTGCGCGCCCCCACACCGCGACACTTAAATAAAGGTCGGCGTGACGTGACAAAAGTCGTAGGCCTAAGTGTGTGTAACGCGACAGAATTCGTAGCACTAGGTGTCTCCAACGTGATGGAAGCCGACGTGTGGATGTTAACAACATGTAGCAGTTAGTCATTACTAAACAGTTTCCATATTCTGTTAGACGACTGTCAGGATTGTTGTTGTTGAATATTCAAAGTTTTACTAAGCGATACGTTTCTACCTGGCTTAGGACTAGATCAAGCATATTTTAACCTTTGCCGTTTCTGAAACGCCAAACAGTGGTGCCTCACTTCGAATTATAAAATTTATATTTTAGGATAAATTTTAAACTTTTTCTTTTCCCCTTAACTATATGGGTGGCGGATTTTTTATTTTCGAATCGAATTTGTGTAATTGAAGCTTCATTTATATTCAAATTCGAATTAAGCATCTCATGGTTTAATTACGATGACCGTTTACGGAGATTTTTCATGGTCCTCGTTTACGACGATCGTATTTCATCGTATAACTTCGTTTACGGTAGCAGTAAACGACTAAAAAATACGGTCGCCGTTTTTCACCGTGAATGATAGGTATACGGACGTTTACGGCTCAGGTTGATCGACCTGGGTTTAGTCAAAATATTATGAGATCTGCGAAAAATACCTTTTCAGTTTGCTAAATGATTCCCAGGTGAACCTAAGAGTTTCCGGGTATGTTCAATCTTGAAAACCTACAACAACGAACCAGAATCCGACCCAGAGGTTTTTCTTGATACGACGAGAGGTTTCTAAATTTTTACATATTTTCAACATTGTTTTGGAGAATAAAATAAACACAGTGTTTTAACCCATAAAAAGAATATTTGTACGCTTGAATTTACGTTTTTCATCTTTCACATTGTTTAGTTTAAAATGTATTTAGTCAACTAAAATTACTCACAATAACTATTATAATTTGTGCGATCAAGAATTATTCCAGCTATTACTAATTTTGTTATTTCAATCCGAAACTATTTGAATACTGTTGAAGTAACCTTATATAATCTTTATCTTCATGAACTGTTGTCGATTTGAATACAATTTGATATGATCAGAATGGTACGTTATAAGATAGATACAAATGAAGGTATATATTAAGGTTAAAAGGGTGTGAATGTATGTTGGGTTACTAATAATATGGTTCCCTTAACTAGGGATGCCAATTTATAGTTTATTTAATTAAAATTTAAATTCGTGAACAGTTAATTTAATTTTAAATTTAAAATAAATTAAAATTTTTCTCATGAAAAAATTTTAATTAAAATCAAATTTTTGGACTAAAAAAATCATTTAAATTAAAATTTTAAACTTAATAAATTGTTTGGATGGGTACACATCATTGCTATGAGAAAAAGACGTGACTTTGACAGTAGCAAATACTAAATGAGAGGAGAACCTAGCATTTTAGGTTAATATTTGTTCATAATAGTCTAAATTTCTCTACAAATTATGCAAGATCAGTCATATTTCTTCTTTAAAATACCGGAATACTCATAAAAATATACCTAATAGAACAATTCCTAGAAGAATGACTAACTTTAGCTTTAGAAAACAGGAAACATACTCAAATTTGACGTTAAATAATAGCAATCAAGTCAAAAACTATTCTTATCTACTAATTTTGAAAAGGACACCGACGGATAAGACCGCAAATCTGCCACCCCCTTACTTTCTAATTTCAATAATCTGGAACGATAGCGCTTGAAATTTTGCATCTTTCTATGTGGGTCTTATCGTTTTGGATCAATGTGAAAAAAAAATTTGAGTTCATTTTATGATCGATGAATACAACAATTTTCGTGCACTCGTTTCTTTTTCATGCTAGTACCTTTTTGTGTTCTGTAAATGATATATCCAAATTAATAGCCTAGGTTGATAGAGCTTTTAATTCTCTACAAAATGAAGTAATTTTTATGATTTAAAGTAGACTCTTTCTAGAATATACAAGAGCAACAATATTTAGTGTAATGCTCATGTTACGCGTATATTTTACTATTATCGAAGATTTTGCCGCTGAAAATAGAATTAGTGCCAAATAAATTTCTGATAGAAAACCGCGCCGTTTCAAGCTCTACAACTCTACGCACGTTTGAGAAAAAAATATTCTCGTCTACAGTCTCATTTCTTCAAAAAATCATGAAATACACACCATTTTAAGGCAAAAAAAATCAATTTTCATCATTTTTGTTTACAACCTCATCGTATTCTAGATTTCAATTCTGCATTCGAATTTCAAATGAATAGATTCTTTCACAGAGAAAATTTCTTTCTTTCTAGACGTTATCAAACATACTTTGTTCCTTAATATTCTATAGAGAATCAATTGACAATATGTATAGTATTATATTTCTTGACGGAACTGAAAGAAAACGAGTAGTCTTCAATGTCAGTCGTCATCATCTTCTTCTTGTTGAATTTTATCATCCATCTCGCCGTCTTCATCAACAACAATTCTTTCCATTATTGCTTGTTGAATTTTACGTCGACCCTTAAATGGTTCGAAATGATGATGACGAGCGTAACCTAGGTACCATACAATAGAAACAATGTTCGAACCAGCTCCAATAGTTACAGCTACGCCAGGACATGTGCAATACCAAGGAATAATAGGATCTCCAGATAATGAGTACTGAATCCAACTTTTGTACTTGACTGCATTTGAGTGATGGCTTTGAATTGTGCAACGCAAAATGTTGTCGATATTAGCATCTAGTTCGACAGTATAATCACCTTCTTGCTTCTTGATCCAAATGTTCTTCTACGTAGATACGCGCTAATTTGATGTTTGCAGGTACCAAGAAAAAGAAGGCATAAGTCATCGAAAGATAATTCAAGAAAGTCAAAATCCACATTTTCGATCATGTTATTCCGACGAGAACGAGTGGAGATTATACCCATTTCAACACGCTGCTGAAGAACATTGCGATGCGTGAGGCGAGTCCGCATGACTTGAGTGAGCTTTTGGTGATAAGATGAGTGTGGATTGATGAATACACCGGCACGGTAACTATTCAAAGTGGCTGAGACGATTCTCACGATATTCTAAAGGTATTGGCTCTTTGACGTACAAACACATACCTATCATAATTCAACATTGCTTTATTTAGAAAGATTGATTTGATTATCATTTATTTACACATCTATTTTAGAAATATGGCAAGATTTCCAAGCGAATCAATGAATTAGACAGGCAATGTGCGGAAAAACGAGTAACATTCATGAATTATTGTTTTAGTTCACATGAATTTCGCTTTTTAGAAAAATCAAAAAATGAATTCGAACGAACGAAATCAGAACGTGAAGCTGATGAAAAGTAGGACCTATGAGAAAAATTAATGTTGCTTTATTTTTGTTAATTTTTTAGCTATTGGAATCGCAAATCTGAATACACACCAGAATCAGGTATTGAAACGCATAAAATTACGCAAAAGAAACGCGAACATGAATCAAAAGAGTTCGAATTTAAAACTAAAAAGTCAAAATCATTTTTTATAAATGTTTTCATTTCTGTAGAGAAAAGTCCGAGCCAAAACCTGTACGGCAATATATTGGGAATGATGGTTATCCACTGAACTGTAATGAACCTAAGTAAATCTTTTTGAATTTTCACTTGTAAGAAATTGTAAAATTTTTTTTTTTATTATTATTTAGAGTCGATTTTAAAATGCTTGAAAGTGATGATGATCGACATGTTATTCTTGATGTTGCTGTTTTTCGTCATGTGGATACATCGCTTGTCGATGTTGATGTTCAACCGCTTTATGTTCGAGTTACAATTAAAGGGAAAGTAGGATTTGACGAATTATTACATAGCTATAGACATTACTCTTCTCGATCTATAGATTCTACAATTAGTCTTGCCCGAAGAAGTCAATACAATACAATCAGTAGCTGAGCGATCGAAAATATCAGGACATTTAGTCATTAAAATACCTAAATTAAAACAATCAAATATTAAAATGGAAACAAAAGCTCGAATTGAGAATAATAAACCGTATGAAAACAAAGATTTCATTTTCTATTCAATTAATTTTTTAAATTTTAGTTCTACACAATCAACTTCTTTCGAACTTGGTAAAGATCCATCGGCAACCGTTGATTACACTCAAATTGTAAATCAAAATAAAAAAAAATCACAAAAAGAGCGAGAAAATTCAGCAGATTTTATCGATGATCTTGATATACCTCCATTAATCTAACTAAGCTTGTTCTTCTACATGTTATAATTTAATTACAATAAAAATTCTTGTTATTGATATTTATTTTTAACAAATTTTTCTTTCTCCACAATTAAAATGTTATCAATGGTTCAACTGAAAAATGATATGATGATACGATACGTCGTCATAAACAACCTTGTCCCCCTTCATTCGCCCTTGTAGAAGTATATTTATCTTCAATCACGGATGTGCTTTAACTTAATGACATGATCATAAATTTCTTCCGAAATATCATCAACTTTCAAACTAGACACAAGACGACTTTCCAAACGTGAAAATGATTTACAATTAAGAATTATAACATCGGTCTAATGCTGATCTGTGACTTTATATATGCAATAAAAAAAAAGTATTTTCATGAAAAGAAAAATAAACAATATGTGCAAGATCACATAGATACAATGATAAACGTATGTCAGAAAAGAAAAACAACAATTTCCTTTTCCTAATCCATACAATACATAGCATATGGGCCCACGTAGTAAATTTTTTTTTGACTAGTCAGTAATGTAGAAATAGACAACGTTCCCGAGTTGTAAATTAAACGTACAAATTTCATAAATGATGTTCTTTTCTATCAAGATAATTTTGTTAATTTTTTATGACGCTTTTGATGTTTAGCCAAATGATCACTTCTGATGAACGCTTTTCGACAAACAGAACAAACATGCTTTTTCTCTCCAGTGTGTCGTCTGCGATGTCGACTTAATTCATCGGATCGTGCAAAGGTTTTGTCGCAGTTCGCCCACAAACATAAGAATGGTTTTTCACCTAGATAAAAAAATTGATACGTTAAAAAAAGATCAATGAAGTCTATTCTTAGTAATATGCGTTGTTCTCTTTCGTACTCTTTCTCTTTCTTGTTTATGTGTTGCAGAGTGCACTGCGTTGTAGTAGGAGAAGAAAAAACAAATAGGTACAGCTATCTTCCTTTTTCTTTTGACGTCATGTAAAAGTAATAGCATAGTAACCCAGTATTGTCTATATTCTCAAGATTATGCGGATAATGGTTAACATAGCTACTTCAATATGTTGGCCTAGTTGCTTTCCGTAAAAATAAGGAAAGAGAAACGCAGAAATAGACAGCTATTTTTTCTCTATAGATACTAATAATAGAATAATAGAAAGTTCGCATTTACCTGTATGTAAACGCGTATGTGCTTTGAGATGAGACGATTTAAAATATGATTTATTGCATCCAGCATGCGAACAAATATAATTTTTCTTTCGTTCAATCTGTAGTAGATTTGTATTGGTTGTTGTCTTTAATACTGATAAATTTGTTGATGGTTGTGTTGTTTGAACAACAAATGATGTTTGAGCAATGGGGAAAAATGTACCATTGCAATTAAGATAAAGAATATGGTATTCTGGATTATGCGCATCTGTTAATGATGGAGAAAATCTCGTGTTTGCATTTGAAGATAGTGAAGACGATTGGCATTCATCATTTGATGATGGACACGGTGATGTACATGCTATTGAGGAAATATCAGATGATGATTCGTCCGATGTCGAACATAGTGAACCAGATCGAGATATAGTTTCTATATTACTAGATAATGTCAAATTGTTAAATGATGAAAGCGGAGTATTTGTTGTTTCACCGAGATACTGAAAATAAAAACGCAATTTCAGTAAGAAAAAAAGAACAACAATGTTGTTATTTTTTTGTAATTACCGGTCGAAATTTAGGATGTAGCTTTCTAGGCTTTTGAGCATTCGAACTAAAAGATAATAATAACTCTGCATCTTGAACGCTCACGTTAGGAACCTATATTTAAATTTAAAAACTAAATAAAAGTCGAAGGTTGAAGAATACTCCGCTTACCGTATCCATTGCTTGAATGGTCTTATCGATATGATTCATCCCTTTCAAACTGTTTTCTTGGGAAAGTATTATAGGTTTTGTTTCAGACAATGAAGCTTTCTCAACAGGATTTATATGTAGCGATGAGATGACCGGCGAAATTTCAATCATGAATCGTGTTTTATATATGTTATACTTATGTTTTTATACCAGTATAGCTAACTGTAAGTGCGTCTGAACTCTGAATATAGGAAGCAATGGGAGAGAAAGAAACTCAAGCAACGCATACATTGAATGCATGATCATATATGCTATCAGTCCGTAATCACGCACTATAAGCGCATGAAAGAAAGGAAGAAACATGCGTTGGACCATGCCCCACTCTTCGACAGAACAGAACCAAACACACCCCTACTGGCGGAGGTATGCGCAAAAGGGATAACGAAAAGAACATGCACTGAGTAAATGATCAATGAAGGTTTTTTTTTTGTTTGAGGAAAATAGAAAAAATAGAAAGGAAAAAAGATGATGAAATAGAAAATGACGACGTAAAAATGTTATTTTGTTGTATAACATACGAGAGACCGAGAGAGAGAGAGAGAGAGTAACAACCAAACAGAATGAAAGAAGAAAAAGAAAATTGTCCTTCATCATAGAACTGAATCACAAAATAGATGTGTTGATGGGACGGACTGTCGTATATGAACAATGCATGTTTTCATATTATGATCTGATAAGATGGATGTGATTGATAAGTAAAAGCCGTGTGTGGCTTACGGATGTCCTCTAATCAGTGGCATTGTTTTCTCAATAGCAATGTCTGCACTGAGCAAAGAACTTGATGATAAAAAGATTTCATAATTATATTCTATATTTAATGAAAATAAAATAAGGCAAATATATCTATGAATATCGTACGAAAAATAAGCTTTATTTAAAATGTACATTATATATGTAACTATTATTCTTTTTGAAGAGCATACTTGATGTATATTTCAATAGACATTGCATCGTTCTTTGCATCGAAAACAAAAAACAGCTGGATGGCAATCAATTTAATGTTTTTCATATGGATGGGCTCCCATTATTTTAGAATAAAATCCAGAAAAACAAAAATATTTAATTAAAAAATAAAATCACCAGGCAAATCAAATATTTCACTATTTCATATAGAAGCAATGCAATCGTAATAAGTACTATTTTTGTCTTTTCCTTGAGAACAATATTTGATTGAATAGTAAAAATAATTTGTGACCGATTTTATTCGTATATATCTTATCTGAAATCACAACATAATGCGCATTTTATCCTTTATCAGGCAGTATTCTTTTGACAGAATTATTTGCATTGTCATTGTAAGACTTTATCGGCTAGTAAAAAAGAAATGAATTACAATAATATTGACACGATGTTTCTTAGAAAGATAACCTTGAATATTAATATTTATTTTAATTTTCTTTTACTGAAACTTCATCAAAAAAAATCAAAAATGTCGCAAAGTGATTCATCCGGTGATTCACCAGAGTGACGTAAATTGACCCAATTCTTATTCTACAGTTAATTTATGGTGAAGAAAATTTTGTAATTTACAACCGAAAAAAACGAAACCACCGAAAATGAATACTTTTTTTTATGTAGTAAACATTCTACTTGTTCAAATATTAGAATTTCGAACATTGTAATGGATTTACAACGACATAAAAGCACATACTTGACATTCGTTTTTTCTTCTTCGCATTATGTATTATACTTATGTTTGTTGACCTGGTTTTGTTCTCGCTTACAATTAGAATCGATACCATACACTAATGACATCTCAATAGAAAAAATTTTGCACGTTCCTATCCTCAATCTATGAAATTCTATTGCTAGATAGTCATTTTATTGCTAGAAATTAAATTAACTAAATATGAGTGAAAATAAAATATTATTAATTAAAACATGTCTCGAAGATCTAAGTTCAGAGTTATTAATATCAATATTTGATTATTTAACTTCGATTGAAGTTTTAATTGCATTTTTTAATTTAAATAAACGTATACGTTTGACTATTTGCTATTATTTACAATTGGGTTATCGTTTAACACAATTTAATTTACAAGACACAAATTATTTAACGTATAAAATTTTTTGTCATGATATTTTACCGAATCTAAAATCAACTATAACATCATTTCAGCTCGGTAGTAATTATTATTTTGGGCAAATTGACTATTTTAATCAATATCAATTGATGCGTCTTGATTCACTTACGATGCGTTTGATCGATCCAAATTTAGCTAATGATATACTTCAAAAATTCCTTAATTATAATCGTTTGCAATGGTTTGATAAAATAAATTTAATTATCGACGAAGAAACTAAGGGATGGAATGAACAAATGTCCTTTTGTGTACAAAATATTCCCGTTAGAGAATTAAAAATTATAGGTAAGACAACAGAAATGAAAAATTACTTGAAACAACAAAAAAAAAGGATTTCGTTTCATTTGATAGTCTCGTATTGTGTGTCAAATCACATCTATAGAATTGTTTCTATATTACAAGTTATAAAAACTTGTCTATAAAAATATTTCCTTGGGATACATTGTCTACAAGAGATCAACACAGTTAGAAAAGTCTCGTACTTCCACTACCCAAGGAGAATATCTTTTTCAACAAGAAACGAAATATGAATTATTTATTTCTTGTAGGTAAAGTTCCATATGTCTTTGCTCAACATCTAATGACAGGTTGTTATTCAATTACTCATCTAACTATTCATTTAAAATTTGATCACGGTAAGCATCTCCCGTTAAAACTCTCTATTTATTCATCATTGTTTCTTTTTAAAGATCTACTTCCTCTTCTTTACTATCTACCAAATCTAATCGAATGCAATGCTTATGTTGATCATCGTGGTCGTGATATATCCAATGATTTAACACTACTCGAGCCACTTCCTGCTTTAAAACATTTCAAATATGAAGGACTTATGTCACCGATTTATTTACGACGTTTAATTATTGAAATAAACCTACATATTGAACATCTATTTATCTATACACAAGATTATCAATGGCCATTTCATTCATCTGAAGGATTTTGTTGGGATTTTTTCGATTGCCTTCATGATTTACAAAGATTTCATTTCTATATTCGTCTAATGACTTCAGATAGTTTTAATAAGTTAAGACCATATTTTACGGATACAAAATATTTAATCAATCGAAAATTATGTCATAATATAGCATGTGTTGTATCAAAAGATATCGGGCAAATATTTTCTTTGCCATTTGAATTTAATCATTTTGAAATTTTTGACGAAAACATTTTTAGTCAAATTCAATATATTAAAAATGAAAAAAATAATTCAAATGAAAATTATTGGAGTAATATCGAACATTTGACGTTACATATGAATATTTATGATCGGTCATTATTACAATTGATAAAAGAAAAATTTACAAAAGTATGTGCAACTGATTATCAAGTTCCTCATTTCAGTCTTATACCACAAGAAAATGAATTACATCAATTTGAAATTGAACTTAGTAGGTTTACGGAATTTTTTTCAAAGAAAAAGAAAAATTTGTCTTTCTTTCAGGTACGATCAAAAAACTTATAATTCGTGATAGTGTTAAACATGGTTGTCATGTTCCTCAGCCCCTATTTCTTCTTACATCAAATCTAATTGAACTTGAAATTGATCATTTCTATTTAATGCAAATTGTTTCAATGGTTAGTAAACAAACTCAATCGTGTATGTTAACAGCATTTTCTCGACTTCATCGTGTAACTGTCCGACAATTTGATGAACGTATAACTGATTATTTTTTTTCCTATTTTTCCCATATAAAAATCTTTGCTCTCATATTTGCAACATATAAAATGCAAGTTTACCGAACTAAATTACCATTTCTTGATGATCTTCTTAAATCGATGTCTCATTTAATTAGTCTCAAATTAGAACATATAAGAAAGCCACAATATTATCAAGATTATATTGAAATGCAAAAGAATGTTGAAGAAAAATTCTCAGAATATTATTCGAAATCTACTTATTGGTGTAAATGGTACGATGACCAGACACAACTACACAATAGATATGCAACATTTTTTTTTTCAACATAAATTAACATTTTGTTTTTATTTATTTTTCTTTATTTAATTTTGCTCAAGGTTCTTTTGTTTGTTTGTTTTTATTTTGTTTAAAACGTTGTTTGACATGAAATGTGTGTTTGTGATAATGACTCGTTTTTTCTCAGCCTATGCACATCTAAAAGATATTGAAATGATCTCTTCATTAAATGTATATATTTATTAGGTGATAAAAAAAAAGAAATTCAATTCTTTTAGATGAATGCATCCCACTGATCATCAGCAATCATGGAACAATCTGATTCAAGATATTTTTCTCAACGAGCCAAACATATTTCTCAACTAAACCAGCAACCTTCACCTGCAATTGTTAAACGAACATTGCCAGCAGCTTGTTTTCAATTTTCTAATCGAACTTATGTACCATCATCTTCATCATCAGATACTCAAGTGACTCCAGTGGGACGTGGCCATGGTAATGCAATAGTAAAGGATCATTGTCAAAGTATTAGTAAAGGTCGCGGTCGAACAACAGTGCCTTTATCATCATTTATATTGCAAAAAGATAATCTTTCGCCGCCAAAAAACTCTACTACTAGTTCAAGGCCAATGTTTGTTATGCACGATGAAGTACAATTTGTTCGACCCTATTTCGGACCACCCAGTAATAATGATTTGCAATCATCATCGATATCTCATAAACGAGAAATTCTTCTTTCAGCATTGAAAGAAATTGAATCCGGTTTAAAAACGTTGTAAATGTACTTTCAGATATTTTTCCCTATGAAAAATACTTGATGAGTTTTCTTTTCTTTTGTATTGCAAAGTTTCAGATAGATATAAATTCGCATCCTTTTCTTTTTGTGCATTGGATATTCTGTGATTGAAAGACATTTTGTTCATGTATGGATTGTTTTGTCTAGCAGTGTTATGAATTATGTTTGCGAATTGTTTTTTTTTTCATTTTTTTTTGTATTTATATGAAACAAACATTTCTGAATGAAAAGTACCAAAATTGAAATTCTCATTATTCTACAGATAGATAATCAAATGTCGTAAACGTAATTCAAGGAAATCTGTTATGTACTTACAAGATCGCATTTTACTCGTACTGTGCAATAATAATGAAATCAAGATGAATGAAAAGAAAGAAGATTATTTGTTTTTTCTCTCGTGAAGTCATCGAAAAAGAGGGTGCTGTAAATGATCTGACTCCACAGGCCAAGAACTGTACTGTATTCTCTTGCCCTAGTAGAGTTCTTTCAAAGTTCTTATTTGACGAAAATCGCTATATTGCATTGATACAATGAGACGAACGTTGAAAATATCCTAGGAAAAAGATGGATTTTAGAAGTGTGAAAACGAGTACTAAATGATTTAAGAATTCAACAAATGATGCGTTTCTTTTGCTAAGATTAATTTCAGCGACTGGTCCCCAACTGTGTTTTACTGTCTTGTTGAATTCTATACAACAACAATATATGTTTGGGCGTGGATGTGACTGGATTTTTAACTCAACCGCACCCCACACCCACCCATGATGAAATGTGTAGTAAATTCCATTACACTGCTACGTATCAACAGCAAAATGAATGGGAAACTTTTATCCTATTCCTTATTTAACAAAAAAAATCATCATGCACAGTATTTTTGTTATTGGTGACATTTTTGTGGAAAAAATAGCAGAAATACTATTTTTGAATTAAAAGTCATTCCAGCTGAAGTACAATTGCAATCAAGGTTTCTCAAAACTGGTAAACACTTTCTTATGTTCTTTGATGGGATCGTTTTTTCATAGTCACAACACTGAAATTAAATTTTGTTTGCGCTGCAAGTTAAAATTTGTAGAAAAAGAGCACTATTTACTCGTTTCTAAGATATACCAAACGTTTTCGAAACCATGTGGACGTGTACGAGGCAAAATGTATTCTATAGAATCGCAAACTCAATGTTTCAAACTTAAATTATTCATAAAATCTAAGAGAGAATAATATTTTTCGAGAGCAACATTAATTTTCTCAGGTGTGAAACACTGTATAAGTTAGTCCGCTGTGATTTCTAATTAATTTTGATGTATAATATTTGAATCTGGTTCATCAACGAGCCAAGTTTCTTGAAACGAATATAACTGCTTTACTTCGAAATCTCAAATTGATAGAAAATGGAATGAGAATAATTAATGTGAACTAGTAAAATTCGAATATATGAAGCTGAGTTAATAACCGATTATAGGTCATACTGGTCAACATGCGCTTCCTCGCACTCATATTCATCATTAATCAATTGCAGACACTGACAATTTGCGTTTACTCTCAAAGACAGCCATTATTACGAAGTTAAATTTAAAGTAAATGTGAAGACCTCTCATTGAAAATTGTGGTATTGGTTCACGCTCGTATGAAATCAATAATCGGTAAAAAGAACCATATTATTTACACCTGCACGCCATTGATGGTTAGAAAAAATAGGTTTTTTTTCTTTCTCCGTTCTCTTTTTCTAATGAATGTAAGCCTAAGCATAAAAAACGCATATTTGTTTTTTTGTTTTTGATATACATCATTATTTTATTTGTAACTGGCGTCATGGTTTTTAGTTGGAATTTTTGTAACTATTCCTACTTAATTACTTCAGCATTATTTATATTATACTTTTTCTTTAGAAAAGGGTTAAAACCAAGCAAGGCATCTTGTTATCAGTGATATTAAATTTCCAATAAGGACTCAACGAGAGAAAGAAAAAAAAATAAGATTGATAATGTATGCACTAAACGAAACAGTAAGTAAAAAGTAGCTAGACGTAATGCACCGCCCATTAATAAAGCTAGGATTACGTTGCTATGACAACAATTTACGCATTTATGAAATAATTCGTTAAATGATTCATTGACAACTTACATTTTTGTCTCGTTAAAAAATCACGTAATGTTTAATTGAATGGTATTTATTTCATTTTTTTGCAATCTCTAAGAAAAATAATGGCGTCAAACGATGATCTCGTACACTATGGTCAGACAGTTTATCATGGAACAATTTTTAACTTCAGTGTAGTAGATTTTTCTTTGGTACATTCTAATGCACCATTGGTGATAAAAGCGAAATGCAGGTAATACTATTCTATTGATATAAGAAATAATAAATGTTTTTAATAATGGATTTAGAGACTTCCGTGATAAGCTGATTCTAATGTTTTCCTCAGATGCATCACATCGTGACAATGCAAGAAATCCACGTAAGTGATTTGTTCTTTGAGTTCACTGCCAATGCCATTCTTTTTCTTGAATAGGCTACACATGGACCATTGAATTTATATGGAGTACAGTTATTAATGAAGTCATTGCCTACAATGACAATGTCAAATCTGTAGCAGTACGTTTTTATCTATTCTAACTATCAATCGTAAGACTTTTATTTCAGGTAGAGCATGCTTTCATGTTTGTATGTTTCGATAATAATATTTTACCGCATGAACGAGAACATTTGCTAAATCGCTATACCAATAGCATATTTTTTGAGTCTCACAATAATGGTTCGAATAGTAATTTTGACACTATTTTCGACTATCTTCGTAAAAATGGACGAAATAAAGTTGTGCGACGCAAGCCAGTAAGTATCAAACAAACACTTATCTAAATATTAGCTACTTTTTTTATATAGAGAAAGCGGGACTATTCCTATCCGTTGCGCCTTCATGCTAATAGCAATAGCAGTGGACTTGTTTTTAATTATTTCTATACTTATCTCAATCGACAAGTTGGCTTCAGTAAGATTGAATAGATATTTTTGGTTTTTAATAGTACATCAATTTCTACTATTTCAAGTCAAAGATAGCAGATTTTGTCACTCCTGTTTTCAAAACGTTTGCCAACTTCCATTAACAGGATTCAGCTGAAGGCTATCTTTGATATGAAACCTTCGACATTGATGTATTCGATATAATCTCATTTGTATATTAATCTTTTTTTTCTTTCACTTTTTTTGTTTCTAGCCAATAACATCATTCTCACATTCATTTTCAATAGAAATATAACTCAAGAAGCGTTTCCTTCAAGTATACGTGTTCTATTCGATGGGTGGATTGAAAATAATTATCTTGAAAGATCTCCTTCAACAATGGAAGAGAGATCACTTTTGCCACTGCAGTCTAGTACACTTGTATTTACATACGAATCATTAAAACATGATAATTCCAATGGTAATCAAACACTGGTCACCTTTAATGTAACTGATGTAGGTGATTTTGGTCAGACTATTGAGAGACTTAATATTTGGCAAGAAAAATTCGATCTCGATTCTCTAATTTGTATTCAACTTAAAGATGATATACGAGAGTGGAACGAAAAATACCGGCGTTGTTCCTGTGATCACAGGTGAATAACTTTTTTTAGTTTATGTGGCATTTTAAAATAAATTTTAGTATGAACGAACAATCATTGGCTACGTTCCATGCCGAAAATTCTTTGCCCGGATCTTATCCACGACTATGCCACTTATTTTCTATTGAAGATGTACCATCCACCGTAGATAGGCACATAGGTAAATTTTGAGAAGTTAACTACTATCGAAATTTCTTGATTGAATTTGAAGGAGTTCATACAATCAAGAAAACCACCAACGATTGCTTCAATAAATATAGAGAATATTTAAATAATATGAATACGCAGGAAGAGAACAAAAATATTGAACTTCGGCTAGTACCGGTTTACTATTTAATTGCGCCTACATCTTGTAACTTTGGCCCACCGGACACTAGCAATTCGATTGTATACACTGAAACGACTCCTCTTCAAGGTACTATCATCGATCCGCATGATCCAACTAGTATACATTTGACTACGGTAGCTGGGTACGTATTTGTCTATATCGTTTTCTTTTTTGTTTTCTAATTTATCCTTAATGTTGTTTAGTGGAGAAATACTTCGATCCAAACCAATGATTCACTACAATCGCTATCTTCAACGTACATTTTATCATATTGATGAGATTGTTGATCATAACAAGATTATTCGAGTAGAACAAGAATTAATTAATTATTTGTCAAGCGAATAACAACTTTATATTTATTTTCATAGTATTTATTTTGTGGTGAATATCCTTATATTTTATCCATACTCGGTCAACTGGAGCGAAATGGTCACATAAGTCGTGCACAAAAACGAGATGAATATCTTCGCTTCTGCAATATGCTCAATCGACTGCTTGTCGTTGAAAATTTATCGGAATCAATTAAATTGATCCAAATTGATGACGAAGAGAGACCAGAAATGAGTCAGAACGCTCGAGATAATTGCTGTGATCAAGCTAATTGTAGTCTGAAAAAAATACAGGAGGTTTACAGAACCCTCCGAACAGGTTCTGTAGATTTTCAAAATGCTCCAAATGTGTTCAAAGTCTCAAAAAAAGGATAAAAATTTTGACAGAACCTTTTTTTGCTGTACAGAACCGAAAAAAAGGTTCTGTAAGAGATGGTTCTGCANACAGAACCTTTTTTTCGGTTCTGTACAGCAAAAAAAGGTTCTGTAAGAGATGGTTCTGCACTTGGGTAAAACGCAGAACCTTCAAAAGGTTCTGTCAAAATTTTTATCCTTTTTTTGAGACTTTGAACACATTTGGAGCATTTTGAAAATCTGCAGAACCTTTTCGGAGGGTTCTGTAAACCTCCTTTATTTTTTTCAGAGTAGGCCTATTTTGTTTGATCTAAAAAGAAAACGTATATTGTTTTTTTTCGTTTAGATGCAGACATGAAATCATTACCGATTTTGATCAAAGACGACATTGAGCAGTGGTACGAAAAAGCTGATTTGTATACAGATGAACGTTCTGTAAGCCTCAAAATTCGATGCGATTAATATAGATTAGTTTTTTTTTATCATTAGATTGCAAAATCCATACTTCTTGAATCTCAACCAAATAATCGATTAGTACACTTATTTTTCAAGAACAGAAATACTAATCAATTAATTGTAGCATTTATCAAGTAACTCTTGAAACTATTAAAATTTAATTTTTCATATCTCGATATAGAGATCTGAAAGAAAAGTTGGAAGGTCATGGTTATACTATCGATGATATTGATGGTGATGTTGATTTAATCGAAGACCTCGAACAGATCATATTTATCTGTACTGAAGAAATGACTGATAATGATAATCGTCAAATGATAAAAGCCGTAGAGCGCAAGATCAATAAAGTAAATAAATCATTGATATTTGTTTTTAGTTTTTTGTCTTTTATTAATATTCTAATAGATTGGTGTTCTACGAGATATCTTCATTTGTATTAATGATGCTATTCAACGTTTTTCGTGTCATCTCATTAAATCTATTCCATATCTCATTTTTGATCTGCGTTTACGCATTGCCAAATTAAGCGATGATGAAGTGCGAGAGGTGATTGAGTATCTTACTAGTAAGATTTTAACTTCACTAGTTGATATCATACACATAAATAAAGAAAATTTCACAGATATGAATGTCCAATCAAAAACTTATACAGATATGTTCGACGATATTTATGATCCCACTCAACAGACAGCACTGGTATGATTTTTGTATTTAAATGTGATTATAAATAATTGATTCTATTTTATTTCAAGCAATGTACAAGTGTTGGCGCAGGCTGTGCTGCAGCATTTTACTTTAACTATGCAAAACTTCTAACATCTTTACCTAGTAAGATCGGAGAAAATTGAGAATAGTTTGAATCAGTTTTTTATTATTTACATTTGAAGTTCATCAAGAACGAGTGGAATTGATTCATCAACAACTTCTCATGGAGAATTTTCTTGATTTTAAACAGAGTAAATCAATTTTCATCAATAAATGGGTTTTTGTCATTCCATGGACCATCGAAAATTCCTCTAAACTTCTTTCTTGCGGACTATTGTTAAGCGAGGATGAGCAAAAGCGAGTCGGATTCAAATTATCCTACTGGAAGCCGAAGTAAGTCGGTTTTTTCTTCATCTATCTTTGCAATCAAAACCTGAGTTCTCTATGCAGAGATCGTAATTTTGTCAGTCCGAAACTAGCAGTGACCGTTGGTGGCGTATTTCTACGGTCATACAGTGCTCTAGTTATCTATGAACTCACAAATTTGATCAATCAACAGGTAACTAAGAAAAAGAAAAGTTAAAATGAAACATTTATTATAATGCTCTTATCCATCCAGACTCTCTACTTTCCCATGGAGATACCAGCGGCATTGAATGCCTTGCAAACTCAGTATCAGAATATCCTGTCTCATTTCAATTTTGGAACGTTCGATCCATTAGAACAAGCAACGACTTTTCGTAAAAAAATTGAGGAATACAAAGCAAATGAGCAAGGTGCAACATGGCACGATAATATTGTTTTAGTGCCTCTGGATCAACCGTCGACTACACTTGAAAATATGTCAATTACATCATATGAAAAAGCTGAAATTCTAGTGAATACGTTATGGAAGCATTTGTCTTCATCAAACTGAGCAATATTTTGAATAGATGGATGCTAAGATTTTCAGAATGACTCGGTATAAAAATGTAAACTTATGATCTCCGCAGGGAATTTTTGTGTATAGTAAAACCAAAGCAAACATTTCATCGTCAAGTCAATGTTGAAAAGGTGGCTCATCATTTATGGCTTTCTTTTATTGTACTTTTCTCTTTTTTGAAGATGTTTATTGATGGCTTGACAGCGTATTTTTGTTGCGAAAAATAAATTTTCGGTATACTGTAAATCCAGCAGAATGATTTTGATATACTCCAAAATACGTGGGAACAAACTAAAGGCAATTGCAATCATGGACGAGGTGAAGCTGAAACAATATCTCAATCATGAGCATAAATAAACTAGTATCGATGAATTGTATGCGATCTGTAGAGATTGTTTAATACCGATTCGATCTTTCTTTTTGTTACATCATCATAAATTCTTGGTACGCTTCTTAATTGAACAGAATATAAAATTAATAATAACACAAAAATCTACAATCTCTATTGAATACATGTAACAAATAAAAACAAAAACGTGTTTTTCACACCGATGTATCCATATTACAAAAATCAAAGTCATTGCACTTAATCTTGGATTATGTTTCATTAGATTTCTTATCATTGAATTGAATCTCTAAATGATTAACCTGTGAAAATATCATAGAAATACATGTATTTGATTTTTTCCTCTATTAAGTTAAACATCGGCGAGCAAGGTACATTTCTTCTATGGTTTTTAGTGAGTCATCACTTCACTTCCTTTCTTTTTGTGATTGCTGTGTATGATGGTTCGATATTTTTGTGGTACAAAGTTAGCTAATACAGGTAATGTGTGGATAGTAGTGTTATTAATATATATATACCTTGAATAGTATTGGTGTTTTTGCTAGTAGTTGATATGATCATAGATTTTTCCAATGTTCAACTTTGTTTTATTTATTATAAATTCTCAAAAAAAAAAGAAGATAAATATTGAAATTAATTTTTCAATGAGAATGTAAAATCAAATTAAGCCCCCCCCTCAAAAAAAGTCGATTTTCGTCAAAGAATCGAAAATCGAGATAACACCATGGAGTGAAAGCCCATGTTCTCCTCTTTCAGAATCACTATAGTTTTTTTTCCAAAGACCATTTTTTGACCGAAATTTTTTAGTGATCTTTGAGAGGTCCTCTAT